AACATACATTCACTTAGATTAGACTCGTGGAAAAATTTTGTACACCTGAAAAAATTCTTAAAATATAACAAAAAGTTAACTTTGTAAATATTATATGGATATATATTTTAGATGCATGTGCATGAGATAAATTTTAAAACCAATATACAAGTTTTTAAGCCACATTAAAATTTGTGTAATATACACTTATCCCCACATGTTTTTCTGTGTCCTCTATTTTCTCTGACGCCCTGTTATTTTTTTATGAATGGGATGCAGTACTAATGTAGTGTAGTGAGTGTGTATGCTTGTAATCATGTACAAGTGGTAGGGAACAAGAAAGGAGTCAGAGTTTCTCAGTTGGTAGGGATGAAAATTGCCAAGCAGAAGGACTGGTGGCAGCATAGAAGCAGAAAAGTATGGTGCATCTGGAGAACCATAAGTATTGAAGTGGTCAGGGTGTGAAGACAAGTCAAGACAACTTTACAAAGTTTTTCCTGGTATTGGTGAGGATTCATTGAATTTTAGTAGTACTCTAGTATGCTGATTGAATCTGAGGCAGAAGATACAACTGCAATCATTCATTTAGCAAACAGTAAGCTCTCGCTATATGTCATGTGCTAAGGAAACAAGCATATAGGAGATTCTTACTCTTCAAGGGAAGTTAGAGGTTAGAAGTTAAGGTTAGAGAAATGCTCACTTAGTGAATCCATTTTTAAAGGGGTACTAAAATATGGCATGGCAGTACATACCTGTAATCCCAGAAGTTTGGAGGCAGAGGCAAGAGGATTATAAGTTTGAGACAAGCTTGAGCTACATAATGAGACTGTAGCTTTAAAAGGGGGGAGGTGTGTCTGGAGAGATGGCTCAACAGTTAAGAATACTTGCTGTTCTTGCAGAGGACCGATCTTCAGTTCCTAGCATCTACATGGTGGCTCAAAACTGTCTATAATTCCAGTTATCGGGGATATGATGTCCTCTTCTGACCTTCACTGGCACCAGGCACACATACATAGACATGCAGGAAAAACACCCATGCACATAAAATACAAACAAATCTTTTTTTAAAGGTGGTGGGGATTTTAGAGCGCATACTGAAGCAGTGGAGTCTGCTTAGGATGCTAGGATGAATAATGAGATGAATAAAATTGAGTGCAGAATAAAACTATGCACTAGTTCCCCCAACAAACATGTCAAGGATTGGTGTATTTTGCTTAAAGTCTATTTTTTTTAAACAAAATTGCATGGTATTTCAAGGCAATGTGTTGAAACCTGTGAGATTCTTGCGACATGGTTATTATGAGCTGACTTTGGCCAGTATATTCAAAAAGTCCACCTGTTTTTCCTGCAAGCTTCTCCTTAATCTACTTAGTATTCACAACAGCCTCTTCTGTTATGAATTTACTACAACATTTAAGACTCATGATCCTTTACTCATTTTCTTTTTCAATTGTGAAGTAGCTTACCATATTGGTATTTTCAATTTTGTGTGCTCACTTCCTGATATCCTGTATTTTATACAAGATTTATAGCTTTACTTGGTGGTAAATTAGTGTTGGATTGCTAGGTGATGTACTTGATGACCTAGGAGAGTCAAAATAACTGGGTGTTGGTGCATAACTAAGAGGGCTGCTTGGGTAGAGACTGATAGTAGGTGATCAGTTCGCTAGAAAACACATTCATAGCTTTTGCATCCCTAGGAAATCCCGAAACCTTTCTACTGCTGGGGCTAAGATAATAGCTGCTCAGAAATGAGAACTCCCTGTTCTAGCACTAGCAAAAGACTAGTGTAGCATTTTTAGTACTGATGGCAGTAACTCATTAATGGAGCATTGTAACTTAGTGGACTGTAACAGTGATATATATTACTGTATCTATGATATCTATGTGAGATCTACACATGAGAATTGCATGAAACTTGTTGTGGATGGGAGTCTGGTGTACTTGTTAATACTAAGTCATAATGCAAAATATCACGCCACTATAGCATGGAATGACTGTGAATGCTGAGTAAGACCTGGATATAAATCCAGGCTCTACCCCTCAGTAGGTGTGTGTAACCTCGGGGTTATTTCAGGAAACATGTGTGCAGAAGCACAGAGATAGAAAAGTCGTGGGGACTGCTGAGTCTGCCATTAGGCCTGGAAGCATGGGCTCCTGCAGACAGGTGGCCAGAGAGAGGGATTGGGAGGGTCTTTATATGCCAAACTAAATAGCTTGGACTTTGTCAAGCATGCTCCGTTTTTCAGTGGTTCCTAACTGTCTTTGTCCTTGAACCCCCCAAGAAAATCTAATAAAAGCTGTTTCTTTGTCCCTAGAAAATGTACACAACACAAAAATTTCCTTATAGTTTAGAAGAAAGTTTCCTAAAACCTGTTCTGGATGCTGGGCTAAGAACCCTCACTCCAGACACTGAAGAGTCACTGAATGGGATTTAGCCAAGGGTTACATCTCTGTCAGACCTGTGTCTTAGAAATACGACTCTAACTGTAGTTGGCAGATAAATTCAGGGGAGATTGGCTATGAGTCAGGAAATCTGTTAGGGCTTGCAGTGGTAATCTACGTAAGAGTAGATGAAAGCAGAAGCGATAAGTACAGAAGAGGAATCCAGTCAAGAGCCATCTGGTAATAGAACAGATAGGAATGTGACCAGTTAGATGGAAATGACATAGGAGAGGTGGTGGCATGGACTTTGTGTGTAGATGACTCATCTGTTGAGGTACATGAGGATTAATGTGCCCTGTCTTATTGATAGTATCTGCCAGAGAGCTGGTAATAGGATACAGCCCTGGGCTTTCCTTATCTTTAGTATGCATACATAGTATCTTGGGAGCTTATTAAAATGTGTGGTTCGAGAGGTCTGGGACAGAACCTGGGAATCTACATTGACAGAAACTCCAAGTGATGCTGCCCACTACCAGTCTATAGACCATATTAATAACAGCAAGAGACTGGAGCTAAGGGGAAACGTCTTCAATGAAATGATAGACTCAGACTTAATAATATCATAGGTGGTTATTAAAACTAAGGAAACAGACCAAGTCTCCTGGAAAGAATGCATAGAATAGGAGGAGATAAAGCAAACATTGAGCTTTGTGGAATGGCAGTTATTAAAGGGAACATGGAAACTGAGGTTTACCTCAGTATAGAGTTCATGGTTACCATGTTTTAGGCTTTAGACTCCATCCCCCAGAACACACACAGAGAGAGAGGGGGGGGGTAAAAGACCATGTGGGATTTTGAGAAGGAATGGTCAGCTGGGCATGTTGGCACACGCCTTTAGTGCCAGCACTCTTGGATCAGAAGCAGGCGGATCTCTGTGAATTTGAGGCCAACCTAGTCTACAGAGAGGCCTAGTCTACAGAGGGGGTTTTAGGATGAGAGAGGGAGAGGGAGAGAGAGGGAGAGAGAGAGAGAGAGAGAGAGAGAGGGAGAGAGAGAGAGAGAGAGAGAGCGTGAGAGAGGGCGATGTTTGACCCTGTTTTGCATGCATTGGCCACATAGGTGATGGTGCCCCAGAGGAGCAAAAATTCATTACTGAAGGTGAAATAACTTTAATGTTATAGTAATTTATAGTTCTCCAAAGGGACTCAGTACATAAACAGATGTACAGTGTTTCTATGATATTAAAATTTCATGACAGGAGGAGGTGATTAAGAAAAGCTATCTTAAAGGTTTGCTTGAGTTGGGGGGGCAGGCACAATAATGAGAACGTGGTTGAGCAGCAGTACTGTAGAGAAGTAAAGATCTGTGAGGTTAGATGAGACTTCAGAGAATGAAAAGGGCTGGGCCAGGTATCTAGAGAAGTAGGGAAGGGTATGTCAGAAAGCCGCAACCGCATTTACAGAGGCAGAGCAGCATAAAATAAGATGTGAAAGTCAACTTAAAATAAAATGTGAAGCAGCCAGCACCCAAAAAAGCAGGGAGGCCCCAGGAAACACTTTTAGCTCAGTATTGCTGGAGGCCTGTGGTATAAAATGGACAGAAGATGAGGTGGAAATATACGAAAGTGGTCATGAAGGACTTCACAGAATCACACAGTTGAACAGTACAAATTTTGCCAAGGAAAGTAACCCCTGGTGACACAAACCAGCAATCTCAGCTGTTTGGGAGGCTGGGGCAGGAAGTCTGCAAGTTCTAGGCCTGCCTGGGCTGTCACCACAGATGATTATGGCAGGAATGTGGGAGAGAGGCCTGCCAGGCTGCCTGCTTCTGTGTGAAATGACTCACCTTTCTATTTTATTTCCCCATGAACCTCTTTGAGTCATTGCATTCTTCTGAAGTCAGTTCATTAAAGAAGTCATTTTATCCCATCCAGATTTTCTTAAAATGGGACTCAACCTACCCCTGTAAACAATGCTAGAATGCTAGAGGATTATTAGAACCTGCCACATGACAGTGACTCAGCTTCCAAGAGTTGTCTAGATAACATTAGGATGGTCTCATTAGCTAGTCCTCATCCCTTCACCCCCCTAGTGTGTCTTTCTCTGGTTCTAAATTTCAGCTCACAATGTCTTCCGTCATCTTGTTCTGACAATGCATTTCAGATAAGACCCACATCTCCAGCTCAGCTACATTTTTTTCCGGCCCTCAATTCTGTCGTCTTCCCTCTCACTGCATGACATTGCAGCCTTCCACCTGGCCACATAGAGCATCTTTGCCTTCTTCCTGGTAGGAAAAAGAGATCATTGTCCAGCTGATTGTGCTGATGTGGTTTCCTGTGTGTTCCACCTGGAGGCAGTGAATGACTAGAGATGGAAGGCTTAGCTTGTGTGGCGTGGCAAGCTATACAGGGGTGTGCAGAGTGGGACTTCTAGCTCGTACTTACTATCTAATTAAGTTCAAACTATAAAGAGTTGGAATCCAAGTAGCCCCATCTTTTTACGCATCAGATGGAGTGACTCAATGTGACTGTATTACAGTTCCAATTCCCAGAAGAACTCTGTACATAGGAGAACTTGTTACCGTAGCAGCCAAACATCCTCCTCCACCCACCCATCCTCAGCTCCAGCCTTACCAACCTGCAGATAACTGCATCAAAAGGAGACCTGGATCCCAAGGCAGCCATGTCATCTCACTGCCAAGGCAGACACCTCATTTCATCCGTGGATAGCATGTCCTTGTCCCTTGCTTCCCAGTCCTTTTCCATGCTGGCACCTGCAGAAACTAGCATATTACCAGGGAAATCAATGGGCAGCCTGGATTGTTATGTTGATACATGTCCAACTGATAAAAGACCAGTTTTTCCATAACAAAACTGTCACCTGGCCATCAGAACAGTAACCAACTGAGACATGCTTTGTCCCTATGGCATCTCCCCTATCCTCCAGTGGATGAGGTATGTTCCTGCAGTCCCTATAGAACTGGGACAGATACTATATCATAGTGAATCCGGGTTCCATCAGTCCTTAATGCAGCACCTAAGCCGCTCAGCCATCCCGAGCTTCACTAATTCTTAGATCCATCCATTACTACTACCTCTCTGGGCCTCCGTGTCTTCATAAATTGCAGGTAGTATTATACACTTCATAGGATTATAAGGATTCAAAGTGATCATCACATTAAAGAACATATTAAAGATCGGGGGCTGGAGAGATGGCTCAGCCGTTAAAGGCTAGGCTCACAACCAAAAATATAAAGATCATGGCATATAAAAAGTGGTTGGTAAAAGTCTTTTATCCGAAAGTCCATTCATGCACTAGGGATAAATACTGGTTCTACTACCAGAATCCCCATAGACTGCCCAGGCCTTCTAACAGACACCCATGTTCAGGGGGCGTGGTTCAGTCCTATGCTGGTTGCCCATCTGTCAGATTGGGGTCTGGGAGCTTGGAGGGATATTCTCTCAGCCTAGATACATGGGGAAGGATCTAGGCCCTGCCCCAAACGATGTGACAGACTTTGATGATCCCCCATGGAAAGCCTCTCCCTCCCTGGGGAAAAGATGAGGGGGGTTGGTGGGGGGCAAGGGAGAAAGGGAGGGAGAGGGAACTGGGATAGATATGTAAAATAAGACTTTCTAATTTAAATAAGAAAGAGAGAAAAAAGAAAACAAAAAAATGGGTCTATTACTACTTTCAGTTTATCTAGTAGGAGAACCCTGGATAACCATTATTATCTTTTTTTACTTTTCTCTAATAAAATACTTAAAATATATTTTAAAATGTCTTTTATCATACTCATACTGGATTCTACTCAGGCATCTCAGACAACCTCTCAGACAAAATCCTCGGTCCAGTAGCTCTAACTGCTTGTGCAGCTGAAATCAAGCCTGCTACACTTGCATTTTCCTTTTGTGTTTATACCACTTCTGGCTGAAATGAGACTATTATACTACCCACATCAGGGTTTTAGTTCAGGGTTTGGCTACCAGCAACTCCTACTCCGTGCTTCCTATTACAGAGAATCCCCTTTTCAACAAACCTCTCACTCTACTCCATTACAACTCATACCTTTGAAGCAAATAAAGATAGTACCTACCAGTATACTGAGAGGCATTCTATAGCGGACAGCAGTGATTATTTAGAAACCTTAATATTCAAGATTTGCCAGTAAAGGAGCTCTCCAAGCTTCATATCATGGCATTCTATAAAGCCAAAATTTGGCCAGTATCTTGGAGCAGGTTCCATCAGATCCTCTGTATCTTCACCTTGGCCTTGATAATCCTCTCAGTGTAATTACTGTCCAGAAAATCTTTTCCATTGATCTGGAACCTTCTAATCAATTCATAAGTTTATGGCCTTCAATCTAGATCAAGAAAGGTAATGAATAGAACATCCTTATATGGCACCCCTGCCTCCCTCAGGCAAATGGGATGCTGAACCCCTCTTAGAGCAGGTGTAATATATTTGGCAGTGTTTTTATAAATTCACTTAATGTGGTACTAGGCTCTCTCAGCTAGGTGCTAATGCAATGATTACAGTTGCACTTTTTCCAGGCTCAGTCCAAAGAAATAAACATAGTGCCTCTGATTTACATTTTTTGTTTATATGCCAGAGTTTACATGAGCTGGGCATTAACCTTTGTGAAATGAAGTTTCCTAGGTGAGTGAAAACATCAGCAGCTCCAAGATACCTCTGCATCTTTTATCACCCTAATATCCATCTTCTTAAGATAAAATTATGTAGTTCTCAAACACACACACATACACACACACACACACACACACACACACACACACACACACACACACACACACACCTTCCAGTAACTTAAGGCCTCCATTTACTTCTACTCAAGCTTTGGTCTGTGTAGTGGTTTGCATGGGAATGGCTCCCATAGGCTCATCTGTTTGAATGGTCCTCAGTTAGTAGAACTATTTAGGAAGGACTGAAAGGTGTGGCCTTGTTGGAAGAGATATGTCATTTGGGGGCAGGCTTTGAGATTTCAAAAGCCCATGCCATTCCTAGGTTTTTGTCTCATGCCTGTGTATCAGATGTAAGCTCTCAGCTACTGCTCCAGAGCCATGCCTGCCAACCGCCATCCTCCCTGCCATGATGGCCATAGAATTCTGTGCCCACATTAAATGCTTTATAAGTTGGCTTGGTAATGGTGGCTTACCATGGCAATTGAAAAGTAGCCAAGACTGTCTGCAATCTTGACTAATGTCATCAACTTGCAGGAGTAGGGATACTGTCCTATCCTAGAAGGACCAGGGTATTTTGATCTCTACCCTTGTACCAATTCTTTAGGAAGCTAGTCCCAACCAAGGTCTATTGCTCCAAATAATAACCAGAGCTCTTACCACTCAGGGCCACTCGGAAGAGGGAGGTGCTTCCTTAAAGGGAAAGAGGCAGCTCATTATTAGGGTCTCAAGCCATTATATTCTGGAGCAGCCATAGTAGACTTGGAAGACTATAGATTATCAGGAGACAATGGAAATGGTTCCACCTCAATGTTGTAACCATTTACCTCTAGCAACAGCATGGACAGCAGGAAGATGTTATAGTACACAAAGATTCAAGTCTATCATGGTGCAGCCAAAAAGGTTTATGTTCTTAGATGCACTATGCCCAATGGTTCCTCTTCCAACAGGCCCACATAGCCTATTCACACTTTGCATATAATCTGATTGAGTATCAGCAAAGTACCTGTACATTAGTCCTAAAGGGAAGATTCCCCAATCAGACCTTCTAGGACTGTAGCATAAATATATTCATTTGAAACCAGTTTCTCTCTAGGTTCTTTTGAGATTCAACACTATTTGAGAATTCTGGGCCCAGAGGATCTTTTATCTGCCTTTCACCTGGCCTAACCTCTTATGGGCCTCTGATCCTTTCAATTGAGATAAAGCAGACTAAGGTAGCTTCTAGGTCCTTGGGACATTGTTAGAATGAACTTCATTGAAAATTTTTTCTCCCCCCACTCCACATCTGTAACTTCTTTAAACTACTGGTGGACCCCTCTTACTGTTTGTCCAGAACATACTATGTGCTGATGCCTTCTTCACCTAAGAAATCTTCCCCTTTGACCAGTGCCAGAGCACTGCTCTGCAGCTACAGCCACATGAGTCATCAGGTACACCTAACACAACAATAAGACTCTAGAATTCATTCCTAACAACTCACTCCAGCACACTTCCCCAGCATATTCTTCTCATGCGTGCTGCAAGCATCAACAACCTAGACAACTCATGTGTGTAATCCCCAAGGACACATTCAGTTGGTTTTCACCAATAAGGTATACGTTTTTTAAAAAGGAACTCTGAAGCCACACTGTCTAGGTTTAAATCCCAGCCCTGTCACTTCCTATATTGACCTTCTTTCCTCACATATAAACAGTGGTGATAATAGTACCTATCTCATGAAGCAGTTGTATTATAAGGAATAATATGCATAGCATATAAAGAACAGCAGCACCTGATACACACTAAACACCAAAAAGTATATGCTGTTAAGTTATAAATGAATTCTGCTAACTGGAGTTTTTAGTTGGGTGATGCCAGTTAGATCGCCTTTCAGCAAAGATCCATTCCCCCAGGCCCAAACTTGAAGGACTCTTGCCCGGAAATCTTTGAGATGAATTTTAGTCACCTACCCGCTACCCTCCTACATCAGAACAACTCCTTTAACTTTGTGCCCTTCCTCCTCCATGGCCATTCCTCTTATCTTTCACTATTCCATGATGTAGTCAGTTACTTTGTACTCTGCAATGAGCTCCAATAACTAAAATCTGAGAGAGAGCAGTTATTTTATTTTTCTCATTCATTTGTTTGTTTATTTTAATGGAATATTGAGAGAACAAAGAGAGCCAGATTTCAAGCAGGTTCACAGTTGGCCTACTACCTGATTCAGTTTGATGGACCCCAGGAAACACTGTTCTGATAATCCTATTGTAACATGAGGTTCTTTGTCCCAGCTGGTCCTGCAGTCCTTGAGCCCCAAAGAAACATACAGACACTATATTAGTTATAAATCTGTTGGCCAATGACTAGGGCTTCTTATTGGCTAGCTCTGTCTTAATTATTCACCCATTTCTATTAATCTAAATATTTCTACATGGCCTCATCTTACTGGATAATGCTTGGCATGTCCTATCCTCCCAGACCCTCATTACGACTGACTCCATCTGCCTATGTTTCCCGGAATTCTCTGTCTCCTCCACCTGCCTATCTTCCTGCCTCATTGGCCAAACAGTGTTTCATTCATTAACCAATAAAAGAAACATATATACAGAAGGACAATCCCCATCATTCTATTATATATAGGTATGCTCACCTCAATCAACTTTAGCACTCTCAAGCGTGAAGTCTGGTATTCACTGTATTTCAGGTCCAAGTACCAGGACTGGGAGTGAATTATACTCTTGCTTGGGTAATGTCCCTTCCTCCACTCCTACTTCCTGACCCTGGAACAGCTGGACTACTCTGTCCATTCCTAATGATGAAGGCAAAAAGATCACAGTATTCTGCTCAGTAGCCAGCTCAGAAGTCATGAAAGCAGGAACAAGGATAGCAGCAACAGGTGTGAAAAGGAAAGATAGTGCTGGAGAGCAGTCTTGTAGGCATCACCAATAGAACTCAGTGGTCAAGCCAGGCTTGTTGGCACATGCCTGCCAGCACAGTATGTGCAGATAGAGGCAGGGAGATTGCCCTAAGTGTGACACCAGCCTGGGATACTTAGCAAATAAATAACCCTTGGTAGTCACTGGCTGTTGAGGGTTAAAAGAAGGGGGATGTCAAAAATACCCAGTTCCTTGCGTAAGTAGGTGGGAAATGTTTTCAGGTAAAACTTGAAACATTGATCAAAAAGCACATAGAAGAAACTAAGGTGATGACTCAGTGGATAAAGCACTTGGTGCCAAAACATGAGAACAAAGGTTCAGATCCTTAGAATCCATGTAAATACCAGGTGGGTGTTTGTGGCCTGACTATATTTCTAGTGCTCAGAAGGTAGAGATGGGATCCCCAGAGTGAGTTGGCTGGCCTGAATCAGTGAGCTCTGGGTTCAATTAAGAAACCACACCTCAATGAATAAGGTGGAGAACGATGAGGAAAACTTCAGATGTTAACCTTGGAACTCCATGAATGCTGTCCACACACATGCTTACACATATACTTATA